AGAGAGAGAGAGAGAGAGAGAGAGAGAGAGAGAGAGAGAGAGAGAGAGAGAGAGAGAGAGAGAGAGAGAGAGCACCCAGAGTTGCGTGCCATCACTATCCGTGTGATGCACATGTGGATGTCCGCTTCTCCTGCGGAGAGGAACTGGGCTGAGCATGAGCGCATTCTTACTGCGAAGCGAAACAAGCTCGGCTTTGCCAAGATGGCACAAGTGGTTGAGATAACGACTAGTCTCAAACCGGCTTCATGCAGGCAGCATGGTGGTGGGTATGTTCTGTCGTGGATCATGGACGACCACGACGACCATAGACCTTGTGCGGCTGCGGGGGAGGACGGGGAGGACGGTGATCCAGAGCAAGCAGAGTGGGGGCCGGGACCGGTTGGGACCGTCAGCGACGAGGAGTTGAGGAGGCAGATTGTCATGTTCACATGCGACGGCACAGCCTCTCCGTGAGAGGTGTCTGTCATTTTGGGGAGAGGGCAGCGACATTACTGCCTTACGATCATGTGCCTCCTTCCGCACAGGACGCTTGCGTTGAGGGTGCGCAGGCTGGGGAGGATGATTGGACGGACCCGGAGTACTTGTGCCGGAAGGGGACATGTCCGTGAAGAAGGTTTATTTCACCTATGGCGGAGGATCCAACGGGCTTGCGTCTCGTACATCATTCATCACCGATGACGCCTTAGGCCCAAAAGAGGGAGTTAGAGACTAGCGGAGCCCTGAAGGTCGCTCGACTCAGCCATCGAGCAGCACGGCCACAAACCTTCCCCCACGCACGAGGAAGGTTATAGGGGTCGACTCTCGCGAGGACGAGCCCGAGACGGAGGAGCGTTTGAGGGACGCTTGGTTTGATCCTAGCCACCACTCGTTCGACCATTCACAGCTCCTACGTCGATCGGCGAGGTTGGCAGGACAGGGAGGTGCGGAGTCGCAACACCTAGAAGACATCACACTCAAGGAGCGTACTCCGGCCACTCCCTTACACGACCGTGATCATCAGGACACCCACGGCACGCCTTCTTCGTTGCGGACCAGCGATTTTGACATAGGTGGCTCTCATGGTGGATCGTTTGTCTTGTGTTACAGAGGTGGGGGTGATTCCGCCCACGGGACAGATGTCAGACAGCGAGAGGAGACGGCTGAGGCGAGGGACGCCCGGCGCCAGCCTTGATCGTGAGGAGGAGGCACAGTTGCAGTCTATGCCGAGGTGGGAGGGGAGAGGCATTAAAGGTCGAGCAGCGTAGGTTGAGGGACTTGGAGACTAGTGGAGCACGGGTTGGTGATGGACCGGCCTTTGGTGTACATATTGACAGTGGCGTGGCAGGGGAGCGCGGACTCGAGAGCGTTGGTGGCACCGGTGGTCGGCCCCATGGAGATGACGGCAATCGAGGCGCAGATAGTGATAGCTTGGATGGAGGTGACCGGGGAGACGTCGCAAAGGAGGATACTGTCGAGAGAGTGATCGTTGGCCTTCGCGCGACCGACATGGAGGGTGGGATGCCGGGAGGCCGTGACACTTCGCCGATGGGGGATGTTGTTATGGCGGAGGAGGTAGGGTTGCGCACTGACCGTCAGGACAGTGACACTGGTGCACAACGTAGTCCTATCATGGAGGATCACGTCGACGCTGACGAGGAGGCACGGCCGTCCCCACCAGGGGTTGCAGCGGGCGACATGTCCCTCGCGTTGGTTGTGAGGCCCCCGCCAACTTTTTTCAACGACGAGAGCTACATGGGTGGTCATTTGGGCGAGATGCTTGAGGAGTCCACCCCACCGGCTCTTGATCCAGAGGACTTGGAGCGTGCGGGGATGGAGGACCCTTACGTTCACGCAGGTCGGAGGAGTGATCCCCGCCGGCCGCCAGATGGATTTGTGTCGCCTCCCAGGTGGGTGCCTGAGAGCCCTCAGTGGTCAGGGTCGTCACGCAGTGATGTTAGAGGGGATGAGGCGGCAGCTTTTTGCGGGGGGGGCTCGGCGACAGACATGCACCCACCACGACCACCATTGGTGCATGCATCAGCATTGCACATAGGTAGTGGCAGCAGAGCAGCGACTATAGTGGCATCGACCAGTCAAGGGGCATTAGGTGGTGGGTGGTCGTCTTGCAGATGAGTTACGGACCGTTTGAGGAGGGATTACGATAGGGGACAGAGGCTTTTTGCACGATGTTCGGCGGCGGGGGCAGATGTTGGTGACGCGGGCGTTGCAGACGTACGACGACCCAGTGCGCACACGGCAACACGTATCTTGGGATTGCCGGAGAGACAGACGTGGAGGCAGGTGGTATTCTCAGCCCCATGTGCTGTTGATAATAGACGTCAAGGATTGCCTTACATGCCAGGCGAGGAGGGCGATTTACACATGCCCGTATGGGCAAGACATCACGGATCTATCAGTGGCCTAGAGGCTCAGATTGTTGTCGAGCGACAACGTCTAGAGGACTTGGTTCGAGAGCGTGACAGGCTGGCAGGACAGACGCACACGGGGACGAGGCCAACACAGAGGCAGAGCCTATCGACGTTGTAGCGCGAAGGGACTGGGCCAAGAGGGCAGCAGCTGCTGCAGCCGCGGTTGCGACGACAAGGGACGTGCATGCCCAACCTCGACAGCGATGACAGGCAAATAGAGTGGCACATGGGCGGGGATGGAGTGCACCTCCCGGGAGTACATTAGGCGTAGCACGTCATGGGACTCGTGCGAGGCGCAGTGGGAAGAGTTAGAGACTTGTACATTACATTTGCTTCGTTGTTTCTACTTGTTCTGTTATTTTATCTTAGGTTATTACTTCAGTGTTTAGGGCTTTTTTTTTTTTTTTACATTTGTAGCTACTTGTTTAGGGCCTGTTTTTTCCTGATGTCATACTGTCAGCATGTGTCTTTGTTCCGTTGTTTTGTCTTCGATTGGTGCTTTAGTCTTTAGGGGCTGTTTTTTTTTGTTTTTTTTTTACTTATGTATCTCATATGCCACAAACCTGTACGGTGCTGGTGGTGTAGGTATGTTGTATTTTCTCTTTGTCTCATACTGTCAGTGGGTCCTTATCCATGTGGACGCAATCCTTGCTGGTGTTTTATTTGGTGGATGCATATTGAGGCGCGGATTTGATGTTATCTATACTCATGATGCTTTGTATTTTTTGTATATCGACACACGTTGAGAGTACTTTGTCACTTCGTTGTCTTATCTTCATCACCTCATCTCCCTTTCTATGTGCTCATGAAACCCTTTTGTGCGGAACCTCATGTGGAGTACATGTGATGCATGGTCTTATGATGTTTATGCTTTGCACGTTCCATTGCAATAACACTTGTTTATGTGGTGTTTTTTTCACGTCTTCTTTGGCCAAAAGTTCCAAAACTTTATTAAACACCTATTGACCCACCCCATAATGGACACACGCACCCATAGACACCCCCTAGCACCCTCCACACCACCCTCAAGGGCCCAAACCCACCCCCCCCCACACACCACATAGTGGCACGGTGGCACCCACCCTCCCATCCCCCATCCCCCCCCACTTGACCCACGTTTGGACAAGACTCCACAAATGAAGTCCAAGAAAAAAAAAATAAAAAAATATTTGTTTACAATGGAAGTACCCCCCCTCGCGAACACCCCGGTGAAACTCGGTAAGAGGGGG